TGAGCAAGTGGTGAAAGTAAACTGTTGAGGACGGACTTTAGAAATCTAGTGGGTAACATGTCCAGGCAGCAAGTAGATGAACTCAGACTGGTAACGATTTCTAAAACAGTTTTGTCAGTTACAGGTGCAAAGTGACTCAGCTCTAAGTGTCTCTGTGGCTGCATGCTTGTTATTTGTGTTGTGGAATTGATGGCATTTTTGATGCCCTGAACTTTGTCATTAGTTTGACTTGCGCCATTTCCGCTCAGCCTTCAGGCTATCTTTAACCATTTTAACCTTTATCGGGGCGATGGCATCCAGAACATTCAAAACACTCAAAGTCACAGAGTTCAACACATCATCAACATTAGAACATGAGGCAATTTCAAAATGTATCATTTCCATGAACAGTGCACCTGTGTTATCATTTATGTGTCTTCTTCGAACAACTGTAGGAGCAGCCGGTGGTTTGGGAATAACAGACAGGTCAAAGAAGACACAGAAATGATCAGACAGAGCAACATCAACCACACTGACATTTGAAATATTTACACCCTTTGTAATAAGCAGGTCCAGAGTGTGCCCTCTGTTGTGAGTGGGCTCACTGACATGCTGAGTCAGTCCAAAAGTTTCAAGGACAACACTAAGCTCTTTGGCATTTTTGTCACACACACATGTACATTAAAATCACCTGTAATGACTAAACCATCAAAGTCTGTGCAAACAACTGAAAGCATCTCAGTAAAATCATCAATAAAACTTTGACAGTGCTGAGGAGGTTTGTATATGACTATGTAGAGTATGGACGGTGATTGTTTTAGCTCCATTTTGAAGGAAACATACTCAAATGATGAAAACACCCCAAATGACAACCTGTGTGTAACCAAATGATCTCTAAAAAATGCACACACTCCTCCACCCTTTTTATTTGCCCGTGTTTCAGATTCAAATTTGAAGTTGGGAGGGGTTGATTCCACTAGCACTGCATGACCTGTGTTTTTGTCAAGCCATGTTTCAGTTAAAAACATAAAGTCAAGATTAAAAGAAGAAATAAAATCATGAATTAGAAATGATTTGTTACATAAAGATCTGACATTGAGCACAGCAAATTTCTAAATGCTACACTATAGAACCTGTTCATAAGATGAATCATCTCCATATGACTGAGTCTGAGTACTGTGTGTGTCATTGAGGAAGAGATGGAGGTTTCATTATGACACGCTAACCCAGTCGAGGGAGTTGCCTTCAGGCATGTGTCACTGCACTGGCCTCTTATGTATGTTAAATATAATGGCATCATAGTAGGTACCGCCTACAGTAATAACATCCATTATTTCTGTGAGTTAAAACAAGTGTGTCCGTTTCTTTTAGCAAATAATCTATAGCATAAAAAATAAAGTATAATTTGTGTTAAAAACACAGTATGAACACACAGTTGGTCATTTTCTTGTCTATCACTTGCTGACTGGTTATTGTGATCTTCCACCATGTAAACACTTTATTCCTTTACATTATTCTGACAACCCTGGGGCCACTCTGCTGTGGGCTTGTTTTGAATCATGGAGCAATTTTCTGACCTTATCTGCAGCATCAGCCCATTTCCTGTGTGTCAGTATTATTTCCTGTCTCCATCCGACCCAATCACAGAGGTAAACAAAATGAATCCATATCTTCTTTCTCATTCTGTCTTCCAACAACTCCACTCCTTTGAACTTTGACTCTAACTTTGTTTCTGATTATATTGACCCCCCCCCCCCCCCCCATCAGTGTAGCACCGCCACTGTACCTACCTCTTTGTTCGAATAAATAAATGTAATGTGTTTCCTTTGCTTCCTTGGTTTTCCTTTCCTGCTCTCCATCTCATTGTGTCCAAGGAAAAGGAAAAACGGTGTGGTGAGAACAATGCGTACTTCCCTTTGTGTGGTTTAGACAAGGGTGCACTGCACATGACTTCACTGACGTAGCCTTATGCTCAGGTAAGATGAGTCACTCTCTCACCCTATACTATGTAAATCCACAGACAGCAACCATTGGTCTACTTGTCATACATACAATTTACTTCTGTTGTGACTCAGCACTAACTTCTCTTCAACTTGCGTCTGCCATTATTGCCATACAAATCCCTTTGTTACTAGAATATTATCTGGGCAATATCAAGCTTGCATAAACGTGAGAGGAAGACATTTTTTAAAGAACAATTACTTGAAATATTCATGATATTTTATAAGACTAATTATATTATAATAAAAATAACTTAAAGATAATGAAGATATTCAAACATTTCAGTATGTTTTATGGACAATATTGTACACCCAAATAATAACTAACCTGTTCAACAGCTAATTCGGTTTTGAAGCCATGTTGAGACTATATTACATTTATTTGTCATTTTCCAGCATTTTACTCATTAAAACAACTTTGAAATCAAATATCACAATGAAACCAAGATTCACACATGATGTTTCTGTTTAAATTATTTAAAATAACTCAACAACTCCAGAAATAAGATAGAGATCAGACTTTTGGTGCACATGGTATATACAGCCAATGTACTGTAGAAATGTAAATTCTATAAACAAGCCAATCTGTAGCAAGAGCTGTTTAGAGTAATGGGGCCCCTAAATCTGAAGTCTTGAAGAGCAGGTCTTATTGTGTGCCTCCCACCAGAAGCAGCTGGGTGGTAGCACAGGAAACACACTGGGTTACGGTGGCCCGTTGCCGCTCCTAACCCATAGTTCTCATCATTGTTCCACTGGTGTTTCTCCTGTGCCTCCCTCAGTCTGTCACGCTGTCTGTGTCCCTCTCTAACGTCTATCACCTCCTGTCGTGACCACCAGCCCATATCTGTGTCCCACACTAGCACTTTACTTGGAGATTAGCAAGTGTCTGACAAACAGGATGCTGAGATGTGATTGACATGTTAGGGAATGCACTGAGTGTGGAGCAGCTGTTGGCTTCTGGCTGTTTACAAAGATATTCTTCCCCAAGCCACAGTCTTCATTTGAATAAGGCACACACTGACATTTACATTGTCTGGAGTGCTATGCTTAAGCTTAAATGGCCCATATTACACAATTTTTTGATCTGTGTTATAATGTTGTTTCGTCATCACAAACACACTTGGACTCTTTCAAACAGAAAACACTTGGTTCCACCTTGTGATCTTATGTGGTAAAACAGGAAATTCTCCACTATGTTTTTAAACTCCTGGAATTGCCAAACTCTACTGAACAAAAGGTAAAGGGTAACCTGAAAACTTCATGACATCGCAAGGCTGAACAGAGCATTTTGATCTTGGAAAATATAGACAGACTAAAAACGCAGCATTACTCAACCTGTGTCAATGAAGCAAAACAACTCCCGGTATGTTTTTGAGCAGGTTATGCATTATGACATTGCTTAAAGCTCTCAAGAGTCAATTTTGTGCAATACAGGACCTTTAATTGTTAAACTGATCAACATTTTCTAGTTTCAAGTGGCATCACATAGCGTCTGTCTTTGATGGCCTACTAGTGCAACAGTTCTGAATACCCTCTATCATGTGCCAGTCTTTCTTTAGTCATTATACACTTGTTTAATATATTGCCAATGACACTATTATATTCTTCAGTCTTCTTGTTAATAAATAAATAAACAAATGCCCATATTACTCTATTACACTATTTTCTGATGTATGTTATAATGTTGCTTCCTCAGCAAAAACATACCTGGAGTTCTGTTTTGTTTCATTCATACATGTTTAACACACAGATCCTACAGGGTTAGTCTGTGTTCTTCTCACGGCAAACACTCAGTTCCACCTTGTGATGTCATGTGGTAATACAGTAAGTGCTCCACTGTGTTTTGAAACTCAGTACACTATCACAAGGTGGAACAGAGCATTCCGAGCTTAGACAAACTAATAATAGGCAAAATAATTACTCAAACATGTGTGAGTGAAACATAACACAACTCCGGGTATGTTTTTGCTGAGGATGCAACATTATAACACACATCAAAGGTAATAAAATTCTAACTGGCTTAAAGCTCATATGAGTTAATTTTGCGCAATATATCGCTTTCTGATATTATTCAAATGTAGATAACTGGGTCACTTTTCTTGCCTAGACAACGGCGTGACACTCCCCCCTAGTGGCACCATCACTGAACTGCCATTCTTTTGTTCATCGTAAATAACAATCACGGTCCGCTCCACTTGTCGTGAGAAGCTTTGGTCCAAAAACGCTACAGGGGATGATAACTGTTGTGTGAAGCGATTATATTCTGCACGTGTGAGTCCATTACTATACGGGCCGCTTGCTGTGCGCACTGAGCATCAAGACACCGTAGCCGCGTCTCACCGAACCGCCCCTCTCCTCCAGTACTTCGGACGCACTGTGACCCACTGTCTCCAACATGTCTGGCAGCAGGTACAGGAGCCGTGCGCCCCGAGCAGGTAAGTCTCATGTGCCTCACATCATCTGAAATATCCTTATTGTTTATAAACGGCCATGCTTCTGTCTGTGATGCTGGGACGTGGCCGGTGCTCTCTCTCGGTGAACCGCTGCTTTCTCTTGGAATGTGACTTTATGGCCCAGAAGATCCTGAGGTAGGCCACTTGCTTGGTTGCATGGGTTTGCATTGTACCCTTTCTTTCAGTTAGAAATTAGTAGCCTAATTTAATGTACACCTACACATTTCTAGAAATCGTATCGGCTAATGCATACCTACTGCATGTGATTGTGTAGGGCTATTTCTTTTTATTTTTTCATATGGACAGTATGTTCACTGTTATATCTTAACATAACACAGTTTATGAATACTTTACACTGTCCACTCCTCTTTTCTTTGTGCTAATTTGTAGAGTAATGTATGTATTGTAGTAATTTATCTATTCTCTAGCTATTTTTGTTTGATAATATAATTTTTTGTTAATCGAAGGATATGAATATTAGACTTTGTACTAGTGGGATGAATATTGATGTGTGTTAGGAATGGGATCTGGAATAAAACTATATTCAAAAGTCAAACAGACCTAAAAGATGTACATAAACTTAGCAATGGTAATTTGGGTTAAGTTTATAATCGAGGGAAAACCATGTCTGCATTTTTCTTGAATCTCATTTCTACTTCACATTTGTGGGCCTTTCTCTGTGTCATGTTGGATGGCAGTGCTCAGCCTGAGTCAGAATACAGACGCAGCAACAGTCTGGATTGGAGTATTTTTGTGAATTGTGTGTGGGTGCATCTTATCAGAGCATCACAAAGCACAATGTAAAAAAGAATTAGCATGAAATTGAATCTAATATCTCATTGTCACTGATTTATCCATCTTTAAATAGGACTAAAACAGCACATTCACTGGGATTTACATGCTTTTTCATTGATATTTAATTATTTCACATTTTATCATACATGCATTCTTACTCTTCTATCCAAACAGAGACTTACAACAGAGACAGATATAATATTTGAACTTTAAACTGTTTTCCAGTCCCTTGTCTGTCATACTGAAATATAAATACTTTACATTTTCTTCCTTTGATAAATGCACCATTAAGGGTTAAAACTAATGCAAATGTGTGTCTTCTAGGAAAAAGAGTATGTTGGGTTTGCTTCACTGCCCAATCAATTGCATAGAAAATCTGTCAAAAAAGGATTTGATTTCACACTCATGGTTGCAGGTAAAAACAACTTAAGTGGTTGTATAATGTATTGTTTTTTTCATGCTAAATTAATCAGTAACTACTCATTCAAAATAGTATTATCACATAATTTGGTCATAAAGTTTTGGTATGGCTTTTCCTAAGTTTGACATAACGGTTCCAAGATTGTTTCATTTTGGTTCTTTCTGACTTTTATTGAGACCTTAAGTGTTAAATTGTCTATATCTTGCTCATGTTTGTATTCTAGGTGAGTCTGGTCTTGGTAAATCCACTTTAGTAAACAGCTTGTTCCTGACTGATCTGCATAAGGACCGTAAACTCCTCAATGCAGAAGGTGAGTCACCCATCTCTTAAAGTGTCTAGTATGTGCAAAATAAATCAAGCTAACAAGGTGTTTCCTTTTATTAAGAGCGAATTAGTCAGACAGTGGAGATCACCAAGCACACAGTGGACATTGAAGAGAAGGGAGTGAAGCTCAAACTGACTATAGTGGACACGCCGGGATTTGGAGATGCAGTCAACAACACTGAATGGTAATAATAATTAATAATGCATTGGATTTATATGGCACCTTTCATGGCACCTAAAGCAAGGCTGAAAATGTGTCCCACTGCCAATTACTCACGCACATATTACATTCATACTAGACAGGGGGGTGAAGTGTCTTCCCTAAAGACACAACGACAGTTTCCACTAGAACCACTGCTGCCCCACTGTGGTACCTGGTATTCCCTACAGCCCTTTCGCAATAAATGTAGTTAACAGAGTTATCTGTTCTGCCCAAATATACTCTTTATTTTATTTGAAGAGAAAATTTCACATACAAAGGCATCAATAATATTAAAAAAAAAATCATTATTCATTCTCTGTAGCCACTACATCTTGGGAGTGACACAGACATGACTGCCAATTTTGTACCTACTGCTTCTGACCATCACACGCAGATACATTCATTTTCTGAGTAGCCAGTCCCTTCTACATTCCATTCAAATCCAGAAGGATCTGAAACCAGACTATAAGGACCTCAAACCTCCGTCATAACGGGACGGTCCAATCACTGCAAGTAATGTGTAGCATGGGTCTCTCAAATGTGGAAGACATCTCCTCTTGTATAATTCAGAATAAAATATATAACTTATTTGACCTCAGACAAGTACATATTTTGATTGTTGATGATTCTGTAGAAATCCGTTCTGTTTCCCAGTCCTATTGTTTTTTCCCTTTTTTAAACATAGGTTTAAGTTTGTTTGTTTTTACCAAAGTGGAGTCTGTGTTTCTGATTGATTAATTCACCTGTCAATCACAAGTGTGTGGTAAACACAGTTACGCACGCAGGAGGGTGGAGTGTTCTGCCTATACACACAAACACACTGCTACTGCAACTGCTACTGCCACCCCAACATCTAAGTCAAATGTATCTGCAAATCACTATGCTAGGTGGAAGATAAGTCATTTATGAACTCCTCTAACAAACCTGCTGAGACAGAGTTGACCTACTTTCCATAGCAAATAAATAAAACATCCATTGTGTTTCCCAGTTGGCAGCCAGTTACAGACTACATCAACCAGCAGTTTGAGCAGTACTTTAGAGATGAGAGCGGTCTCAACAGGAAGAATATCCAGGACAACAGGGTGCACTGCTGCCTCTACTTTATACCTCCTTTTGGACATGGGTAACACACTCCACTGTATAGTGAATTGATATTTGCTATTTACCATATATATTTGCTTAATGAAGTATAATTTTCCCTACAGGCTACGCCCCGTCGACATAGAGTTCATGAAGATACTAATGGATAAGGTTAATGTAGTCCCTCTCATCGCCAAAGCTGACTGTTTGACCCCCAGTGAGATAAAGAAGTTTAAAGATCGGGTAAATCCAGAATCATTATACTAGTTGGGTAATCTACTTTATCATTTGTCAAAAATATAGCAATCTGTAGTCATTTTAAATGATAAACTGTGTCACCCTACAGCATTATAATATGCAATTGCACCATTGGTTTATTGAATAAAAAGAGATACAGACATGAACTATTAACTAATAACATCTAGAAATTTCCTGAATGGTCTGAGCGGAACTGTTAGTTAATTGATAATTACAGTTAATGCTGACCTTGGCAGATTCATGCAGCAACAGTGGAGTTCTGGAGTGTAGAAGATTAGATGTGTATGCAATTTCAGTTCTTATTTTAGCAGCAAGTGACTATACAGATTAAACTTGCACTCTCTTATGGAGGCATTTGTGTAGCGCAGTGATTTATATTAATAAGAACGCGTGGCCTTTGCAGCTGAGAGAGGAAATAGATAAGTGTGGGATAAAGATCTACCAGTTCCCAGACTGCGACTCTGATGAGGACGAAGAGTTCAAACAGCAAGACAGAGAGCTGAAGGTGAGCCCTCTCCTAAATGTGTTTGCTCCCAGTGATGTACTTCAGACTTTATGAATATTACATTAAAAGGCTCTTGGTCTGTCATGGTGTAGGAGAGCACTCCATTTGCTGTGATTGGCAGCAACACAGTGGTGGAGGCCCGTGGTCAGAGAGTGAGAGGCCGGCTGTACCCGTGGGGGATTGTGGAGGGTAAGGGAAAGTGAAATCTCAAGTCTGTTACTATGGTGATTCTAACGGTTTCCTGTTTACAGTGGAGAACCCCGCCCACTGTGACTTTGTGAAGCTGAGGACCATGCTAATAAGAACTCACATGCACGACCTGAAGGACATAACCAACGACTGTCACTATGAAAACTACAGGGCGCAGTGCATTCAGACTATGGCAAGGTGAAAAAAAAAAAAAAAAGTGTGCATATTGTAATCACTTTAGATATTAAGTCTGTGAATATTATTAATTTTCATCAAAATAAACTGATGCTGCTTTTAAATAATTATTTAACCTGTGCTAACAATTTGAGATTTTTTAGCATTCACATCCTCTATTCTATTTCCTCTCTTTTTCAGTGTATCTATGTATGTGTGAGCTGGTTTTCTTTTTAATGATTTCTATAATTATGCAATTTGATTTAAAATGTCAAAATGTCATTATTAATCCATAGAGCTAATTTGTACTGTCGTTTATTGAAAAATAATTTCAACATTGTGCTGTAATTTTTGTATTGCCCTAAAATGACAATGTTTACAGTATTGTTGTGGATTGTTGTGTGCATTTTTCTTATGAGGTATGGTTTTTCTTTCTTACAGTAAAATGAATTCTGACAATAGAGTGGAGAGCCCCATTCCCATTTTGCCTCTGTCTACACCAGACGTAGAGACGGAGAAGCTTATCAAAAAGAAAGACGAAGAGGTAATTTACAACAATACCGCATTTAATAATCCCCCGGTGAACTGGGGTTTATGCAACATACAGTATAGAGAACAGGATGAGAAAGGATGACCCACATGTAATCTTATGTAAGCCGGCTCTTAAACCGACTCTTAAAACCAAGTCTTCTTCTTCTTCTTCTTCTGTGTTTATCTTGTGTTGACGCTGCAGTTGAAGAGGATGCAGCAGATGCTTCAGAAGATGCAACAGCAAATGCATGAGCAGGACCTGTGACTCATGTTAAACTATTACTATCTATTACATTGATATACACCATTTAATAATCACAAACTACAAATGTAACGTCTTCAAACCATTTCAGCATGCAAGACCTGTAGGAATGTCGTTTTTAAAGCAGTCATTAGCCAAGTGAGTAAAAGACAGGTGCACTTTGTTAGGAAACAGTAGATTTGTCCTGTAATAACCTGGATTATTATTATTATTTTTTTTTTTTTTTGCACTTTTATTTTTTAGCAGGCTACAATTCAACATGTGCTGGCTGAATGTGAATTATTTCCATTGCAAAAAGCTTTTAGTTTGAATTGCCTACCACAAACATCTAAGGACATTGATTTTCTTGTGTAGGCTGTATCTTTTTTGGCAAAATACACATAAACCAGGGTGAAAGCCACACAATGTTTTGTAATTTATTAATTTATTGTGCATATTTTAATAATAAATGTAGTGCATGTAATCCCGCTGGACATTTTATACAATGTTTAAGGGCATATTTGCAGTAAAGGATTTAAAAATAAAAAGTTGTGAGTTTGTACGCTTGGATAAAGAGTTGGAGTGTCTCCCGTCCAAATAAACAAAGTTTTCCTTTTTACTATGGTCGCTTAAGATATAGGATTTCTTGTCCCACGTCATGCATGCCCCGGAGCGCTGTTTTTTTTTTGTGGTGGGAGAGCTGTACGAGTAAATATTTCTGTAGAGGGGCAGGTCGACATTCCCTGCTCTGTGCTTGTAAAAGGCTGAGTCTTCACCGGGACTGAGCGCTGGTGGGGACCGTGGAAGCCGTGACAGTGGGATTTTCCTCCTAAAGCCGCGCAACGCACCGCCAACCTGTTTGGACATGGAGAGTGGCGAGAGGGATGACCGCGGTAGCTCGCCCCAACAAAATACAATATGGAAGCAATTTCAAGCCAAAGCCAAACCGCTGCTCAGCCCCAAACTGGGAACAAGGGATTCGGAGGACAAAAAGGAGCGAGGTATGCGGATGTTCAAAAAGATCAAATGGAAGCAGAGCGCTGCTTTGGACCGGGTGATTTCCTCTTCGCAGCCCGACTTGCTTTTTTCTGACGCGGATCTAGATACCGCTTCAGCCTGCGTTCATCCGTGCCCAAGGCGCCCCTCGAGCAGCCCTAACAAGCCAACTGTGGCACAACTGGTGCACTGCCACCACAAGAGCTCGTCTCTGGGGTCTGCGTGTGTGGATGGACTGGTGGAGCCCCCGAACCAAGAGGGCAGCAGTGCAGCCGAGACACAGGCAGAACCACAGGCACAACTGGAGAAGCAGGATGAAGACGCGCAGGTGAGGCTGGACTACTGCAGGCTTATAACAGCTAGCCCTGTAAACTCTATAGACTGCAGATGTTAAGCATAACATGCGTTTACCGAAACCTATGCTGGATTTTTGTAGCCTTCCTATTACAATCAGCCTACTCCACTCAACAGGGCAACCTACTATCTGTTGAACTTAGGGCAGCGCTATCTTTCCTCATGCCAGAGGTAGCTACTACTGTGGAACATTACAGTGGGCCTGCATGATGAGTCACATTGCACTCCCCGTCTCCTTAAATGTGCCTCTATAGTTTCAGTATTGCCCACATTAAAGATACTACACTGAATCCAACTGACATGTTTTATAGGCAGATGGCGAGGCTGATGGGCTGTGTGATTGGCTAAAGAGATTCTTGGGCGACTAAAGACTTGACCTGTGTGTTATTAATCAAATAAAAGGGTTCATATGCATTAGAAAAAATCCAACCATAGGCTATTTGACACAAGGTGCACAGAAAGAAGAGCTGTACTGCTAAATTCTGTATTTGTATGTAAAAAGGGAGAATAAATACACAACATAATCAAAACAGGTGAGTAAGAACCGTCTTAGTTGATCAAATAAAACTGCAAACCTTTAAAAATCTGTTTAGTTGTATTTATTTGAGTACTCAGTGCATATAGTTTTGATGAATTTAAAATTTTTACTCAAGTTGGTGGGATAACAGGCCTACCTGTTGTAAATATCGGCCTAAATAGTTCTACACTAATCAAGAAGCACTTAGTGAAAGTGAAGTTGAAAAATATGTTAATCAGTACAATTTGCACAAGAAAAACATTTTTCTGAACATTATTTCAAGAAAAGAAAGGTGTTTTCTTATATTTTTATTTGTCAAATAGTAATCTCTGAGTACAGAGTTTTCGCCCAGTGTACATATAGTTGCTAGGCAACAGGATTTCTTGACCTGATGTCTTGATTTCCAAACAGGAAGTAAAATCTTACCTAACTCTAACCCTAAAAAATATATTTTTACTTAAATTTATTTTTATCTGTTAAAAATAGATTTAAAAAAAAAAATAGTATAATCATTTTGACATTATATATTCCAAGTCATCTTGCAACCTCCAGCTCACTGACTACCTCCCAGGAAGTCCCGAAGCCATCTTTTGGAATCACAGCCCTACATGATAGCTGTGCAATCTTAAAAGAAGTATCTCTCACAAGACACATATTAAAAAAAAACATTAAACAAAACAAAACACACACACACACACACACACACACAAAAGCATAACTCTTCTTATGCATGCAAATTAAAATTCTAAGTTCTATAAGTTCTGTTTTGGTGTTGAGCATGGTATTATATCCCATATATTATACAAAAGCTTACAAAAGCACACTTGCTTCCACCATAAATAAGAAAACTACCATCAGTTAACTCATTTTAAACCTCATTTCGTCTTCTTCTATATCTGTCAAACAAGGACATCTGGAATAAAAACAGAAGCCCTCTGCTCTGGGAGATTTTATTAGACCTTATCACCTAGTGTGTCTCTAGTAAGTCTTTTTTTTTTTTTTTTTAAATCAAAATATAAACAGCTCAATAACTTAATTAAACTACTGTGGCCAAAGTGGCCATACCTCCTTGTCAGTGCTTGATATTGTCTGATCTCAGAAGCTAATCAAGGTTGGGCTGTGTTAGTACTTGGATGGGAGACAGCTGGGAACACCAGGTGACACAATAGGCCAGCAGTGGCTGGCTCTAGTTAAGTTCCCAAACTGTGGTGCAGGTCCAGAAAATGTGGGTTTTATAGAGGGATTATCAGACTATATCACTTCATGCTGTGCTGCGCATGTCTCCAGCAGAAAGAGCCGCTGTTCCGTCTGGGGCTGGGCTAGTTGTATCGATCAGGTATTAGTGGATGTCCGGCTGCTGAAGTTTGAGCCGTTTCTTCTCATCATTTATGCACTCACTTGCATTTAACACATACGGTTCATTAAGACGTATCCCACTCACTAATGTTAATTTAGCATTATAGCATATTTTATGACATGGCAATAAACTGTTTTAGTGCACTGACACATAAAAAAATATATAAGATGTTTGGAAACCACTGCTATAGTGGAAGCTGCTGTGTCACTACCCCTACATTGCCTACTGCCTAGTATACATTTGGTGCATGCTTGAGCATTGGTAATGATCAGAGAGGGCCATTTGGCAGCCACTTCTATCATTTACCTACTCCAGGGCAGCTGAGGCTACAATGGTTGCAGACCGAGGCTACACCAAAGTGACCTGAGAACACTTATCATCTGTTGTATCCTCACACTTTTGTATCCCCACAGTCATTAGGTTTACACACTGCAGGATTAGCACTGAACCAACCAGACAATCTTCACAGGCTCCTCCCACTCCTCTCTTGCATCCTTTCCCCTTTTAACCACAGTCTCCTACATATGGCTGCTGAGGGCTGGTTCTCATTAACTACTTTAACTGTGTTTGTGTGGACCTAGTCTTCAGCTTTGTGTTGTGGAGTGGTGTTACCTGTTGTTCCCATAGTTCTTATGTCGTGTTAAATTGTCTTATTCTCAGAACTGTATTCAACCCTGTCTGTATAAACATTACTGAGCTGTTATTGACCCTGGATCGTTTTGTAAGCGAGGCCTCGGTGGCAGAGTCCCATCAAGCTTTGCGTGGCTTGCTCCGCTGTACTTCGGCCGATGAGTCTTTCCTGGTCTCAAGATGTGGACGTCTGCTGTCGGTGAGGCCACTGACTTTATTACCTTTACATCATGCAGGGAAGCCTTGATTACAGTCTTGTCTGCTTTTTATTCGCCTTTGATGGTGGCTGGTGTCAAAATACTAGGATATGTGTAGGCTTGGTAACATTTTGTATCCCCAAGTAAGTAGCCAATTAATATTCATATACTATTAAACTGTATTTGGAAATTGGCTGGATTTCACTTTTAACTTTAACCCTTCAGACATTAACACTTGTCTTTTTGTTCTTGCTGAATTTATTGAAATTCTTGCAGAGATGTAGTGAGCATCTCTTCCAGTTTTCACACTTTTGTGGTTCGTTGAGGGTGTTGTGAATAAAATGTGTCAGTGTGTGCTCTTGTTCTCCTATTGATCGCTGTAGTCTGTCCTATCTACATTATTGATGTTAATGATCTCTTGAGGCTGGAACGTCGTGTTAAAGAGCAATGTGGTGTAGCTGTGAAGAAGACATATGAGTGGTGCTTCTGCTTTACGGCCCATGCGCTGTAACACACTGTAACAAGCCTTCACATAAATATCACATACTGCCAGCTTTTGTTTGTCTGTGTACCAGAGTATGGTAAATCATGCGTTTCCTCTATGTGATAGTACTTGAAATGTGAATGTGTGTTATACAAAGACTATACTATACTATAAGGCTATACTATATACTATAATATACGGAGTAAAAATAGCCTTTACAGATACAGTTGTCATTAATTCCATTGGCCCTTATGACTTTCTTTGATTTAAACTGTCTAAACGTAGCACAGAAGTTAAAGTGCAGTGAACCTATAGTAAGATTGAGTTGATGGTGATAGCAGAGTGACCAGCATTTATGTTACAGGAATAACTGGGCTTCCAAAGTTAATGAGCAGCTTACTGTGGATTAAGTCCTGTGGCACTAAATCAGGAGGCAAAGTACAGGGATGAGAATAGTGTCAGATCATGAGGATCCCGTCACTGTGATGTTTGTGGTAGGTGAGCGTGTTTGCACACATTAAGCTTGATCTGCCAGGCACCACCACCATCCTGTTTCAAAATAGTGTAGGAAAGAGCTATAGATGCCTTTGCCTCACGCCACAATTCATGATGGTGGAGATAATCTGGATGGATTACATTTAATGTGTGTTTCCTGTCTGTTTGTGTTATGTAGACTGGATTTGACATCTGTAGTAATGTTCAACTATCTTTATTGACCATTGATTTTTTAAATGTCTTTGTTTAAATAAAAAAAAACATAGTTACACTGAAAAATCAATACTAGCGTCATTAAACCATCAATCATAACAATACCTGAAGTGGATTTAGTCATTCAAAGAGGGCAGTTATTACACAAATACAGATACATTGGACATCCAAAACACATTATCATTATAATTCCATTATCAAAAGGCATGAAACTGCAATAGCTGATAACATGATGCAAGCTGGAGTGATAGAAAGCATAAACAGTAAATGGAAACAATATCAGCTAAACAGCACTTTGGCGTTTGGGAGGAAGCTATCGTGTAATTTCCTGTTAGTGGTCACTCCTGAGACTTGTTGCATTTCGAATCAGACATTTCAGTGTTAGCTGATAACAGACGCTGATAAAGACACAACAGAGAAGGTGCATTTTTGACTCTTTACCAAAAGCTTGTATTTTTAATTTGTAAGTGACTTATTTGTACATTTATGGATTTGTATCTAATACATTAATTAGATTTTTTTTGTAGTGCTCAGGGTAACTACAATGTGTTCGTTTTTAGGGTGTGTGTGCCCCCAGTGGAGCAGGAGCCGGGGGTACTCAGGATCGAGTGCCCACTACAGGGATGTATAAGCTGGAGGTTGAGCTGAAAAGGGGTCACAACCTGGCCATTCGGGACAGAGGAGGTACATTGTACATTACAACCTGTTTGTTTTCTCTGTTTTTATTGATTTCAGTGATCTAGGGAAACTCAATGTATTCATCTAGGCACCAGTGATCCTTATGTGAAGTTTAAGCTTGGGGGTAAAGAAGTGTTCAAGAGCAAAACAATCCACAAAAATCTGAACCCTGTGTGGGATGAGAAGACAACTTTGATTCTGGATACTTTATCTGAGCCTTTGTATATTAAGGTAAACAAATGTTTGTTTGTTCTTCAAACTATAATGGTAATTGCAGCTTTATATCTTCACTAGGTTTTTGACTATGACTTTGGCCTTCAAGATGATTTCATGGGCTCAGCTTACCTCTACCTGGAATCTCTAGAGCAGCAAAGGTAGGACATGTCCTTGTGTCATGCTTAGGACCGCACTGATCCAATACTGGTACTGAATTGCTGGATAGGGTATGTGATAAATCTATTCACTGGTCATTGTTGGCCTTGAAAGTCTCATAATGTTTGAACTTGTATTTATATGAAGGTATAAATAACATCTAATGCAGGGGTGTCAAACTCAAATTCACAAAATTAAAAACTGGGACTAAGTCGTGGGCCAAACAAAATATTTACTGAAAAATTTCAACAACATCTGTATGTTTTCTCTTCTTTCGAAATATGTAATGTTAAATCTTTTCTTTAATAAAATAAATGTTTAATAATAGTTTTCCTTAAACACTGAATCCAGGACAAGTATAATATAAAATCATAACAAAATTTCCGTCTCTATAGCCTATCTATAACCATCGGACCAGCTCTAATACTTATATGATATGATCTCACGGGCCAAATATAATTATATCGTGAGCCAAATCTGGCCTGAGTTTGACATGTCTAATCTATTGGAGTTTAATTGTTTTGTCTTATGTTAATTTTGCTTTAAGAAAACAAATGCCATTTTCAGTCTCTCTTCTGGTATTGGTTGATACCGAGTATTGGCAGATAGTTAAAGCCACCGTATTGAAATCAGTATCAGAACTGAAAAAGATGGCTCAGTGCATCCCTAGTCATGCTTTTATAAAAGAATCCTGAAAAAACATTAGAAGATGTACCTCAGTTCTGCAGTTTTGAACAGGAAGTCACATGACCTGTTTCTGTTACTTAGCAGTTTTAGATCAATATCGCAATCTACACTGAACAAAATGTAAACCAGTATGAATCTTTCTGCATTATTTTTAATAGTTGACTTGACATACAAACTTGGATTTCCAAAACACAATTGTAATATTACAGATAGTTTAACCTGGAGCAATACCAAGAGTTTTTGGACTTTGACATAAAAATATATTTACATGCTGTTCTGTAGTTACATGACCTGGGTGATTGACACGTCCCTCCCTGTCCACATTTCAGGACAATTCCCATCACACTTCCACTGAAGGATCCGCACCTCCCAGATGAAGACCTGGGCAGCCTGGAGCTCAATGTCACGCTCACACCAAAAGACAGTCCCCTCGAGGAACGCCGGGACTCAACGGTATGTTGTTTTACCCACACATTTTTAGTTCTTTGTACAAAAAAATCTGTAATTGATTAATTTTCACCAGATCAAATAGTACTGTTTTACTTTTATAAAAGGTAGCATGACCGTCTGGGAAACTTTTTTTTTTCTCAACAGCAACTTGAGCTTAGGACATATCGGTGGAAACCCTATGTGAATAAAGTGAGTCTTGTAGAAATGTAATGGAGGACCTTTAAATATTCAATAGTATGTCCATAATAGCATCCTTTGCATCAGCCATACAAATCGATAGATGCTAATATTCTTTATATATGTGACTGAATCACTCATTAAATACATTTTCATTTAACTGGAGCCATATACCCAGAGTTTAGATGCAGCTTCTCAAAATAATGTTTTATTCAGTGTTTAAATAATTTATTTGCAGACTTGTGCTAATTCAGTCTGGAAGAGGAGGCACAGTCACAGCACACGGGGGGGATTTTTATTTTATTACAGTTGCACTATTTTATTGTTATAATGCTTTAGTGTAGAGCTTTGAATAGCATTCATAGAGACCATAAGCTTCCCTCTAGTGGTTATTATAACACATAATAATGGCCTATAATTTTAAGTAAAATTTTGATGTATGTTCAGACAATGCTGCTCAGGAGATCCTGGAAACGGACCACTAAGGTAAAGGATGTTGTAGCCATGCAATGTGCACTCTATCCTCATTTGTTTTGTGGTCAGTGCATGTTATGTCTTTGTATCGATCTGGTCAGTTTTTTTGTGTTTTTTTCTTTATGTACATGCTGTTTATGTTCGTGGTATATGGTGCTGTTCTTCAAATGTGAGCAACAGATCAACAGGTTGTTCAATATTACTTATGTAATTTCTCCCAAAATTATGTCTTCCTAAAACTGTACACAGTTTGACGATTCATAATTACAAGTCAAATAAGCTCTAGAGAGACTGAAATAACAAACAGATATTTATTTTGTTGGGAGATGCTTAAGGATAAGTTTAACTACTTTAACAGATCTGTTATTGCTTTTAAAAAAAAAACAACATCACCCTGTGTTCATATAATTAAGGACAGATACAACCTTGTTCTAAGATATGCATGTTTATGTTTCTTCTGTGTTAACAAGCAGCAGCAGTCCACACGTTTGTCCGAGTTGCACCGTAAATCACAGCTATGGCGTGGGATTGTCAATATTGCTCTAATTGAGGGTCGAAATCTCACTCCCATGGACCCAAATGGACTGAGTGACCCGTACGCCAGGTTCAGACTAGGACATCAGAAGTACAGGAGCAAGGTAAAGTTGGATTATTACTTTATAACAATATGGCTGACAATGCTTAACCTGCTTTTTAATCCGGGAATGTAGACTGTGCCAAAGACTCTGAACCCCCAGTGGAGGGAGCAGTTTGACTTGCATCTGTACGAAGAGACTGGAGAGGTGTTGGAGATCACAGTGTGGGACAGGGACACGGGACGTAGAGATGACTTCATTGGACGGTAAATTATTGAATTCATAGGTTTGTACAGATTTGTTGAGGGAGCATTTTGATGAATCATTATCCATAGTTCACTTAAAGCACATAGTAGAGATTAACTAAGCCTTTATCTCTCTTATAGAAGGAATCATTCAGTGGACATCAAAGTCCAGAGATTATGACCATCATGACACCTTTATGTAGCTGAAATATTATGCAGTGAAAGACAATGATTGAAGTTACTTTGACAAGAAGAGTTAAACTAAGATAGCACTTATTTTCTAAAATGTACGAGCATTTACCAAGTGTTTACCATGATAGGTCTACAATGTCATATTTCACCAAACGAGTTACTTCTTGCCACTGCAGCTAAATCATCCACCTATCATCACATTTATTATGACTGTTTTTTCTTTTCATTGTAGTTGTCAACTAGATTTGTCCACTCTTGCCAAGGAGCAAACTCATCATCTAGAGCTCCCCCTAGAGGAGACTCAGGGGTATGTAGTCCTTTTGGTCACCCTGACTGCCTCAACTCATGTGTCCATCGCTGATCTTTCAGTGACCCCCTTGGACGATCCCCAGGAGCAAAGCGAAATACTCCGACGATATGTAAGGAGCAGTGCACAGTCAATAGAAACACTAGTGAAAGTAGTCATTAATATATTACTCTCCTTCAGAGTGTTCTGAGGTCATTTTCTAAGATGAAAGATGTGGGAATTGTGCAGGTGAAGGTAATGAGGGCTGAAGGTCTCATGGCTGCAGATGTCACTGGTAAATACTGTTTAACACTTGTACAAACTCAGATGGCTATAGTAGCGTATGACACATGTGGTTTCTTTCAGGTAAAAGTGACCCATTCTGTGTTTTGGAGCTGAACAATGACAGATTACAGACACATACTGTTTACAAGAACCTCAACCCAGAGTGGAACAAGGTTTTCACATTGTGAGTGTCTGTAGTCTAGTGAGATCTAGTATTTGATTCAACAAAACATTTATTGGGTTGGTTTCTGTTGTCAGTAACGTAAAAGACATCCACTCAGTGCTGGAGGTCACTGTGTTTGATGAAGACAGAGACAGAAGTGCAGATTTTTTGGGGAAAGTAGCCATCCCATTGTTACGAGTGAGTAAAGCATCATGCATCACTCACTCTGTTGTAGTATGACTGAAATAGCTGAATATTATTTTATAACTGCAGGTACAAAATGGTGAACAAAAGGGGTACGCATTGAAAAACAAACAGTTGACTGGGCCAACCAAAGGCCTTCTTTTTCTGGAGATTGATGTGATTTACAACAAAGTAGGTATCTAATATTTCAAAATAAACATAAGTCATTACTCCATTCAGTGTTATATTTTTCTCAGGTCAAGGCAGCGTTTCGGACAGTAGTACCAGCAGAGCAGAAATACATTGAAGAAGAACAGAAAGTCTCAAAGCAGGTACATTTTGTTTGTGCCTTATAACACAATAACATTCCAAGCTCTTTCTATGTGCAAGTAAAATACAAACAAAAACTCCCACAGAAAGTTTATACAACTAGCTTCATGCATTTTATAGGTACCCTCTTGTTCACTTTTACATTCAGTTTTCAATCTATGGTCCAGTGAAAGAGGACACACACAAAAAATATTTCTTTTCATTTTTTGTTCCTCAGTTGCTGCAGCAGAATTTTAATCGTGCGAAGAGGTGCATCATGGTCCTGTTAAGTTATGGGACTTATATCAACAGCTGTTTTGAATGGGAATCTGCACAGAGAAGCCTCATATCCTTTGTGGTATGCTGGTATGCTATATTGAGATGCATATGTTTATCTTCTGTAAATATCAAATGGCTTGTCCTCTGTCTTGGCAGCTTTTTGTGGTAGTTGTGTGGAACTTTGAGCTGTATATGCTGCCCTTTGCCCTGCTGCTGCTGCTCATTTGGAACTATTTCTTCTCCATGAGCAGGGACTCTTCTGACGCGGTGAGATATAAAACAAATGTGCTTTTGACTCTACTCTACACCATATTACATTCACCTTTTGAAAGATTACCAAACCTACATTAATTGACCAGCTTGAACCAATTAAACTTGTCTTTTGATTTCTATTGCTCTGAGAGTTAGTCTGTGCAATATATAATATATTTAAATCAAAGGTATTTCTTTCAAAATGTTTACAACTATATTGTTGCATTCATAATGACCTTTAATGACATAATGTATATGCTACAGTCAGTAGAAGCCATGTTTGAATGGGAAGATGAAGAGGAAGACAAAGATGACAAAGTATTGTAATACTGTAACTTTAGTCATGTATGCATTTAATATGTCAATCAATAGTGTTCTTTTGTGTGACTTTAGGAATCAGAGCCCAAAGGCTTTATGGATAAACTCTATGCAATTCAGGATGTGTTTATTAGTGTGCAGAATGCTTTAGATGAAGTGGCTTCATTTGGAGAGAGGATAAAAAAGTTGGTATTTTGTGATTTAATCTATGATTATATCTACACTTATGGTCTAACTTTTTTTTGATGCTCCTGTTGTAGCACAATAAACTGGACCGTGCCTTTTCTATCTTGGTTGGCAATTACTGCCTTATGTTTGGCCACAGTTCTTCTCTACCTCATACCGCTGAGATATCTTGTGCTTGCATGGGGTGGGTCTTCTGAATATACCCAACAATGCCACAAAATAATGTTATACTAGTTTTGAAAAGTAATTTTAATTTTTTTCAGGTATAAATAAATTTACAAAGAAGCTTCGGGATCCATACATGATTGACAACAATGAGGTTCTAGACTTCCTTTCCAGAGTGCCCTCAGATGTTCAAGTGGTAGGTCATACACAATAGATGATATGTTTTTTATGTGTTCATGTACATTGTCTTGGTTTATTAGATAATTTTGATGGCAACACATCAGCAAAAGCAATAGTCATAGTCACAATTGTACCCTTTCAAAATCCATAAGCTTGTTTACTTATTCTTCTTCCTACACATAGTTAAAGGTTTGGTTGTATCAAATCCACATGCTGGAAAAATGTATTTAAGAAAAGAACGCTTTTATTATATTGAGACATTTGAAACTGGGGTATCACAACATCTCTGTTACTGTTATGTCCCTAATAAGAGTGGTCAGTTCAAAGAATTATCTGTTGTCTTGGTGAATGTGTTAAGAAAATTATAATTTGCATAACATAGGGATATGTTTGTGCTTAGATGCAGTATCGGGAGCTCAAAGTGGAACCTGGTCAAAGTCCCAACAAACGTAGGAGAACTAATCTCAGCTAACCCACTGCAATTTAAGTAATATTTCTCTTTGGAAACACATCCGAAGAAAAACTACTATAAGCAATTAATATAAGTGTTATGCATGTGGATTATGTGCTAGTGTACTGTTTTGTGTTTTGAGTTGTTTTGTTGAAGGAAGCAAATTTATTTTTTGAAACTTTTTTGAAAAAAATAATACCAAAAGAAATTTTATGGTTTTGAATACATTTATTTTCTTACAGTTCTATTATGCAACGCATGTGTATCTGTTACAAAGCATGCCTGTACAAAGGTGTGTAAATGTTGCATGGGATTTTTTGTATCCCAAAAAGTTTCTGTTCTATCACTCTTACATCCTTTTGCATGTAGGTGGTGTTTCTGCAGCAAAAAGTATACTCTCACTGTATAGACCAAAAGACACTGTTTTCTATGGACCATCTTTTCCTTTATATGTTCATGATGGACATGTTTTTATATGCTGTTTTTATTAATCAGAGTTTATTTAACCATGATAGTCCCACTGAGATAAAGAATCTCTTTCTCAGGGGACCCTCTTACCTGTTTTAGCTGTCTACCCAATGTCATTAGCCTGTATTTGCACATATATCTCACCATTAAATCCACCATGCTGGAACATACCTTGTTATTACCACATCACTAACAGATCTCTTCTATATTTATATTTGTCTGTTACTGCTTTCTTACAGAGGTGAAACAGAAAAAAAATTGTATATCTTTGGGTAAACCCTTGCCCCCAGTCTCAGTGTTGTGAATGGACTGTGTGTATGGATAAACAATGGGATATGTCTTGCACATGTAGATATTTTCAGTCTTCCAAGTCAAAGCAATCCAGTCAAGGTTGAACTTAACTTGGCTTGTGTTTGAAAAAAAAGTATCAATTTACTGAATAGAATTTATAAAAGAATATGGGCCTTTTGCTGTCAATTTTACATCACTGTTAAACACACACTACACATTTTATAATTTTAAGGTCACTCTCTTTACTTTTTTCTTGTTGTTGATTGCACAAGTTCCGTTTTCTCTCTCTGTCATAACAATGAATCTAATAAAGTTTAAGTTTCAATTATCAACTGTGTAAAGTAAAAGTGTAAATGAGTATATGGCCAGCAGGGGGACCTCGTCTCCAAACTCTTTACTACTCCAGTGCATGTGCTTTTTTTATAGACTTTATAGACAACGTTTTACTCAAGTCACTAATATCAAGCCTCTAATTTGTTTAAGGGTATGGCATAAAATGTCGTAGTGGAAACCATGGTATGTTCAAGGACTGCTTCACACGTTGGCCTTTGGATTGTGAATTAATTTTTAGTCTTATCACCTCATGAACAAACACACCAGAGCTTATTGTATCTCCTTTGCTGCATAAGGTCAAGACCAATTCTCAGCAGCTAATCTCACTCTTCTGGCCCATTCAAAGAAAGACTCCGAAGTGTTTACTGTGTCTCAGTTTAAGCCATATATTGTGTCACACTTGACTGTATTGAAGCCTGTGGAGCTAACTTCTAGTGAGAGAAGTGGATCACTGGACAAGCACTAAAACAATATTTGAGCTAATTTCTCAGATCATTTCACTCTTAAATAGTTTGCCAGGGTGTTCTGCCATGAGAAGCATGTCAAGTGTTGTCACTTATTTACTATTCTACATTTGTTGGATGGTAGAATAATACATTTTGTATTCTGAGCAAACAGTGGGTTATAGCTTAATATTTACACAGTAAATATTAACAAAATAACAAGGTAGGGCAAAACATTGCCTTCTTTTTCTATTATTTGTTATTTAACCAGGCAGGTCCTGCTGAGATTTGGAATCTTATTTCCAGAGGAGTCCTGAGCCCAGAGTAAACCCATTGTGTATGAAAGTTGTGCAGAACATTCTTGCTGCGAGGTGAGGTTCTTCCTCATACAGTCATGGATTGGATGCCTTCCATTGTAAAATATCCCTGTAACATTAATTTCTCTGTAGACAGTGTATTCTCAAGCCCATATCGGACTATTTATTTTAAATAACTACTGAAATAATGATTTTGTGTTCCAAACTAACATTTGAGCTCAATTTCATAACAGATTATTAAGCATATTAAATTTTAAAATAAATAAATAATTATTTTACAGATAGCCATGGATTAAAAAAAAAAATGTATTGATCGTAAAATGGCAGTGGTTACCTTAATTGGTCAAAATAATGTTCAAAACATTGCTGACCTCAAAAATCATATGAATTTTCTAAGCAATTACTGCATCAAACATGGACAGTTGTGGAGAAAGTAGAAATTTTTACTACACAACATTTTAACTGGATTTAAAAGTAAAAAAAAATTAAAATTAAAAATTAAAAAAATCCATGGTGTCATCCTGACCAAAGGATGACACCAAGTCTTGACTCTGAGCAAACAAAAATAAATACATAAACTTCACAAGAAAAATGTAATTAAATTAAATTGATTTGCATTGGACGAAAATCAGCACAATTATAAATTAATTTAACTACATTTAACACTTTTAAATACTTTAATTCTTAAAGTACATTTTAAGTAAACAGATACTTAAATATTTTTACTTAAGATGATTTTATTATACTTTTACTTGAGTAGTCAAATTTTTAGCTATCTGTACTTTTACTTAGTAACAAAAGTACTTTGTCCACAGCTGAACATGGAGAAACCTAAATCTAAATTCTAAAAGAATAAATGCGGACTGACAAAGCTGAGAATATTCCCATATTTTCCCCTGTCAAAGGCATTTTATTTTGAGAAATTACACTATGCAGCAGAGGTTAAGGCATTGAGATACCACTTCACTGAGTTTCATTCAACAAAAGTTAAAGTTAAGATTACAAACATTTTCTATGTAGCAGATTACAGGTTGGCAACATGTTTTGTCATATGTTTGTAAATTAACCCAAGGCTAACTCTGGTACAGGGCATCAAATGTCAACATTTATGTTCTATTTGTACATAAAATAAGTAAATTCTACCTAAATAAATAAATAAATATGAAGGATACATCCCCTCCCCCAGATATAATAATTTAATAATAAGTTAATAATTTAATGACCTACATTAATATTTATCACTGTAAAACAGGACATTAAAAGATAAAATAGACAGTGTTTAGAGAATTGCTTTAATTCAAATTAGGCACATAGGTGATCAGGTAAAAGGCAGTAATGTAGATAGCACCTAGTGGTCATATGTGAGAATACAACGGTGTTAAAGACAACATTTTCTATTGTTGTTGTTGTTGTTTTTTTTTGTTTGTTTGTTTTGTTTTTTCAGGTTTTTTAGAAGGATATCACATCTGCCCCTTCAGGATAACATTTCACCATAGCAAGCAGAGGAATTTTATTTAGACCCATATGTTTCTATATTTGAAAAATGGCCATGTGACATTTTTGAACCCTATGATTTCAAAACTAAATGTTTTGAATAATCAAGTCATTTAAGAGTAGTAGGCAGAGCTACGGATTATGTGATTTTTTTCTTTTTTCTGAGCACTCAAAGATGGAATACAGGACGATGTGGGATTACTGAGACATACTTGAGTCAATTGAAATAATGATGAGAGAACATCATTATAATATGGAAAGCTCATTACACAATGTCCCCTTTCAAAACAGCATTTGGGAAGAAAACGGTGTAATAATGTAGGCCTATCCGTTCCGGGTTTTTTTTTAAGATATGGGCACAAATGCTTATTATCTGACAAAATGAAATTATACAATGAATGCTACAAGAGCATATGGAAGTAAAGTTGAATCCTATAATTTAAGCATTTAAGAACACGCAAAAGCAAATAAAAATCTTCCCATGATCCTTCACACACAGTAACTACGTGAGTGAGTGAATAGTGATGTGCAGTGGAGTAGGGGCTGAGCTTGAGGCCGGCCGGTCCACGCGTGCGCAGTTAGGTGCTCGTGTTTTTTTAAAAGGAGAGCTTTACAGTTACACGGGGCAGTATACTCCCTGACACGGAGGAGAGGGGCTGTAAGAGGAAACATAGGTCCACATAGAGAGAAGCAGTCAGCGGATCCAGATGAGCGCTGACACAAACTACACTGCGGGCTCCGGGCCGGACCCCCTGATCATCCTCCTTTGACTCTCTCAGCTTTTCATACAGGCCTATCGCCATGGTGCTTGGCAAGGTCCGCGCTCTGGCCATCTACTTCGACACTCTGAATGAGCACAACCTGCCAGCCTACTCCGGCGGGGACCTAGTGTCAGGGCGCGTGGTCGTGGAGGTCACGGGTGATGTCCGGGTAAAGAGTTTGGACATCACGGCCAGAGGAGTGGCTAAGGTGCGATGGACTGAGTCTCGCAATGCGGGAGCCAACACGGCGTATACTCAGAACTACACGGAGGAAGTGGAATACTTGCATCACTATGACACCTTGATCGGAGAGGATCGAGGTAAGCAGCAGAACACAGCCTGCTCAAAGTTTTACTGAAGCTGCAGATGCTGCAGTCGTGGCAACAGCAAACAAAACAGCAAGGGGGTTGATGGGGCATGCGATTTACATTATTTAGCATCCAACAAATATTCTGCATTCTGCTCCCATAGCTTTATTTGAGTAGGCCTATGCCTTTTCTGACAGAACGGTGAAATATACATAGCCATAGCTCTATTAAAGAAGGCTCGCATGGCATAAGCCAAGATGATATTCCCCTTACAAAAGTCCTAAATCTTTATAAGGGTTAGAATTGATAGCAAGTTCTTGATCATATAGAGTTGGCCTATACAGTAGACATACAGGTCCTCATCAATCTAACTATTCTATAACGTGCCCCAGGATACCGAGCTGTTAAGTGGTGCTGATGCAACAGCTGATATGAGATGCCCCGCATCAGACTTACAAAGGCCATATAGGCTCTCTTAATATTTATTAACATTGCTTTAATTTGATCCCTACTATTCGGCCTACCTTGTCTAACATGTGTTACTTCTCTTATCTCCACTGCACATCCAGCATCCGTCTGTCTGGGCTGTAACTAGGATTAATCATTCTATATATCGGACTTTTAAGACATGAAAGTGTGTTTTAAGATTGTGTTTGGTAAACACATTCAGCAGCAACGAACTCAAGTCATTTCCCCAGTTTACATCTTAAACAGTGCTGTTCAGGCAACTCCCTTTGTTAGAAGCGGTTCAAACCTGTTCAGAAAGTGCCAGAGAGGAGGAGGGAGGGGGAGGACCACACTGCTCATTCACTGTGTATTAGCAGAGCGTTATGTAGCCTATGAGCGAGTCTCAGTCTCAGTTGTCTAACTCTGAAACCACTTCCTACCTGGACCACATCTGTAAAGCACAATCAAATAGCTCAGTTAACAAGCAAATAGTAGAGAAAGGGCCAGATCTCTCATTTAGTAAATTCAGATTTTGAAACTGTATAGGCCTAGGTGAGATGTGTGTTTAATTTTCAAAAGCCAACAGCAAAATGTTAAGTAATCTATTCTAGACCGACTAGGTTACATAGTCTACACTATAAACCATACAATGTGAAGCCACAAACGTCTGTGATCAAGTTGTGGGCTGGGCATCAGTTTACTGTGTAGCCTAGTGTTATTGGTGAGCAGCGCTTTGGGGTGCGCAGTTCTGGTAAACACAGGGTGTAGCAGGTGTTTTGTGACATCCTCGCCTGACTCAAGTGATGATTTGCGTGCGAGTCTCGTACCTGCCTTCTCGCTGGTCCCACTACACCCCCCAGTCCAGGACCTCACGCCTCCCACCACATGGCCTGGCTAAAGTGGGCAGGGGCTGGCCGAGCTACGCCAATAGGAAGACGAGCTGATTTTTGTGCTGCGTCTCTTCCAATGAGAGGCTGAGTTGTGATGCGTGCGTCGGAGTTTCCAGCCAAAGGAAGCTGCTCAGTCTGGTTCATACCGGTCTGCTCCTGCTCGCCTCCGGTGACTTGTCAAACGCGCGCTCACGCGCACGCTTTAAGACTTACATACACACAAAAGGCATAACCATTTTGATACACATCTCTTGTCGGCCTTTAGTTCATTGCTGACAGAGGCAAACAGTTCAAACGGTAGGCTTAATAGTGGTCAGGCTACTTTTAATTTGGTCGGAGCGAAATGTTATATAAACCTACATTTTATACATTTTTATAGCCTGTAGACATCTTAACAGCCAATCAACCAAACAACAAAAATGTGGGAAATGGCTAGAAGTGTTTTTTTTTTTTTTTGTTGGTTTTTGTTTTTCCCATAGGGTGTTGAATGTTGATAAGGTATATTTATTATGAATATCAAACTATGTAACTCTCTGTCTATTCATTTATTAATCTATTAGACCCACAGTTATGGCATAAATATTCAAATTTTGGAATTGCCATTGATTTTTGTTTTGTTTTGTTTGTTTTTTAACTTGTTTTATTTTATTTTACTTTGCAATTGCTTTGCTTTAATACTCTAAACATAGCTATTGTGATAATGTGGTTTTGAAATATAAATGTTTACATGTTTTACTTTATGGAAAAGCATTGCACAGTGTACTCTGTTGTGTGCATGATTATACTTACATAACTGGAAAGATTGACAATAATATCATTTTGACCCTGTGATACAAAGTTCTGACATCACAACATTTGTCAACAGAGTATCAATTATTTTTGTAATTTGTTTTTTAATTTTCTAATTAAAACTTTCCATTTTCCACAAAATAATTTGTGATGGTTTTCTTGTCGATGTCACTGTGTTCTCAGTAAATGGGTTCAAAGCAGGGGATGTGTGCTAGATGTGTACACTGTTGTGGTTAAAATATAATATTGCCATTTCAGATGCAGATTGTCCCGAGGAAGGCCTGACTGTTCTACACCCTGGATTGCATGAGTTTGCATTCAGCTTCAATCTGCCTCAAATGTAAATATATGCTCAATAGCAGTTGTGTAGTTAGCAATGCATGTCAGAGCATTGACACAGCCGCAGACCACCCACGTCCTCATACTGTTCCTCCCCACCCTTCCTCCCTGACTTTAGGGCCTTGGCCACTTCCTTTGAAGGGAAGCATGGTAGCGTGAAGTACTGGGTGAAAGCCGAACTGCACCGGCCATGGCTGCTCCCTGTCAAAGCCAAGAAAGAGTTCATTGTGTTCGAGCACATAGACATCAACACTCCCCTGCTGCTGGTAGGCAGACTGCACTGATGACTTTATTTTAGGAATGCCAGGATTTAAACTGATGATTGTGTGTGTGTGCAGGCTCCACAGGCAGGTACCAAGGAGAAGACGCTGTGCTGCTGGTTCTGTGCGTCAGGACCCATTTCTCTCAGTGCTAAGATAGAGAGAAAAGGCTACACACCAGGTACAGGTCACACTCACCAGCTTGCACTCCTCTCTAGAACTTCCTCACTACTCACACCTCTCCATCTCCTCCCTCTCAGTCTGTCAGACTGATATCTTCTCCCCTTTCTCAAAGGTGAGTCCATCCAAATCTTTGCCGAGGTGGAGAACTGCTCATCCCGGGTTGTGGTTCCAAAAGCAGCGCTCTATCAGACGCAGACATTTTATGCCAAGGGCAAGGGCAAAGAAATTCAGCAATTGGTGTCCAATCTGCGAGGAGATCCTCTACCTCAGGGCAAGAGCCAGAGCTGGGAAGGGAAAATGCTTAAGATCCCTCCTGTGTCCCCCTCCATCCTGGATTGTCCCATCATCAAAGTGGAGTATGTACTCATGGTGAGTGTGAAAAAGGCAAATATTCTAACTTGTTTATTTAGTAGTTTTGCACTGGAACCTTTTGGATCAGTCTGTCAGTTTTCTGTTTCAGAATGCTGCTGGTTTAGCACAAACTAATCTTACCTGTCCTGCAGGTGTATGTGGATATTCCCGGGGGGCTAAATTTATCACTGTCATTACCATTGGTGATTGGGACCATACCTCTTTATGCCTCTGCTTCACGAACATCCAGCATCAGCAGCAATTGCAGTGCTATGAGCTGGCTGGGACTAGTGGACCCTCCTGAGGGTATGTAAACACGTGTCTCACTGTCTCTCTGTACTGTAAGAACATGTTTAACTGTTCGGTAATACTTTGGCAGCTCCTCCAAGTTACAGCGATCTGGCCATATCAGAGTCTCACAGGAGGGACTGGCTGCGTGGCTGTGATAGGAATGACTCAGAGGGAGAGGACCATGGCTCTGTACTCACTTACATCACAGAGTTCAGATATCTGCCCCCACCACTCTACTCTGAGGTACAGTACACACCCTCATGTACATATATGTAGACACAGACTGAGTAAACAGGTTTTACTCTCAAAATAGAAAAAGACATGTTACATATTAAGACATCAAGTGAAAAGCAATCAATACAGTATCTGCAAGTGAATGTTCAAATAGTTTATTGTAAATATATGCATATACTCCGCCAGGAAGAGTACCACATTGGGTGTATGCTGAATGTAATCTTTGAAACATTATATGAGTTGCATTTATACCCAAGGAGATCTTTTTAGGATGTGTTGGGCAATAGGTCAGCTATAGAGTTTGCCCTTTACTAAGTTAAGTGTGAAGGAGAAAGAAAAACATGGTTAGTGAGAATAACTCTGGGCTAATTTGTGATTAAGGTGGATCCGTACCCTGCTCCAGTGGAGGAATGTGGAGGATCTGATGTGAGGAGGCCTGATACATGCCCATCCCGCTGACAGTGGAGGAGAAAAATGCTTTTATACAAACTGTTGATCACATATCACCGTAAATATGACTGCACCCTCCCTGTGCCAGGACAGTCAAAGTGAGTATTTGGTGACCATTGATGTACGGACCAGGGATTTGAAGCCACACTGGATCCTCTCCATCCGTCCTCTGACATCACTAGGACAAGGTGCCCAGTGGTGGGACGTCTGCCTTACAATGAGATTTGCACATACCGTAATTACTGTTTTCTGTGGATGTTTTATTCAGCTTTATATGCTAGACTGTTCACAAATATTTTACTACTTTTAAATCATAGTGGCACATTCACAGTGGGCTACACGTTTTCTATGCCCATATGTTGGAGACGCTGGTAATAATTTTAGGATGATACCAAATCTTTCTTTGAACAAACAGCAGTGTAAAGCAGCAGAAACAGGCCTCATGAGATTAATGCTTAATCATTGTTTTCCATTAATGACCATCTTAAGCACTTAAAGAGTATCTTTAAGTGTTGCTTGGGGAACAGTGTTGACAAGGTCTAGAGAAAGCACAACTCCAGCCAACCGCAGGAACCAAAACTGAGTAGGGCTTTAGGGCTGGACTGTAGGCAAAGAAATTAAAAATCAAAGAGCTTTGTGCTTTATAAGATTATATCAAAGCATAAAATATAATGTTTACAGATAAATATATCAAATTGAATGAATATAAAACATTTTAACAAGACTTCCTAGTACTTCACAATACCAAGTGCAATATATTTTTGTATGTGATTTTTTGCACTAGTTTTTTCTTATACCTTTTTGCTGTTTCTTCCATTTTGTGAATTATATTATTGTTATCATGATCAATTTTTTATAAATAAAGGTTTATTTTATAAAGTAAATCATGTGTGTGGACACGTTTCTTCCTCTATGCATCTTTTTGTGACGTCTGCCTATAATTTGTGTCTGAGCTGTAGCAGACTCAGACAGATGTAGGACAGTGCTCACATGAGCAACTGACCTAATTCCTCCAGTAGACTATGAAGTGTCAAACAAATTGGACTAATTCTTTCATAATTTACTGAAACGTTTTGTTCAAGCAGCATCCCTCTTCTGTCCGCATAACCTCTAATGACTGCAAATGAAACAATGTTGTATATCTATGTTTGTAGATTAAACTGGGCTCTGGGAAAGATGGGTCCAAATAATCCTAATGAAATACAATCATATATAATACTAGCTACAGATAACTGCTGACCAGAATCAAGTGGCAACCCAGTGGTGCTCAAAGTCATCAACCTAACTAAAATGTGTGCACCTTGATTGACTTGTTTTTGTGCATGCCTAATGTAACATGCACTGTACAAGCAACTATAATAACTGTGTTCACTACGATATATCTTCCACTGGGGCCTTGGCAAAAACATTTTAGGGAAATAGCCTGTTTTAAGATTAATTAGAGCATGTTGACAACTTCAGTGTGTTGTTCGCCTGGTTACGACTTCAGTACACTTGGTCTCCCAGGGCAGTGAGCACACAACACTGACAAAGGCAAGGCGAGTCCCACATACACAAGAGATGAGAGAGGTCACATGGATAATGTTTTGGCTTCTACTATACAGGCTGCTTCTGTCTGACTGATAAACAGAAACTGGTTTGAGCTGGATTAAGAATGCTACAACAGACAGTGCAAAGCACATAACAGGCGATGGATATTCGGTCAGACCATCTCTTATATGAAACTATGACTGCTGGTTAACCATTGTTAAAATATTTATTAAATATTCAAATAACATTCTGTAGCTTGAGTAAATACAACTGACTAAGTAAGTTGTAATGAAAGTAGTAAATGATATAATTAGCGCTTTGGGAGTCTTGAAAGGCGCTATATAAATGCAATGATTAATTAATAATAATTAATTAATTAATAATTAAACATGTGCAACATTATTAGTGGGGGAAATGGCCAATCGTGTATATGATACTACTTGTGGGCTACTTGGATAATTTACAAGAATAGGCTATAGATAAAGCTGGGGTCATGTGTGTCAGCAACTGCACATATAAATACATTTAAGATTCACAAGCTATAGTGAATGTTGAATAAGTTGTTTGTATGCGTTGTTTTGTCTAGTGTCTAATCTTTAAGGCATGCTTGTTCGGTCTGAGCCTCCAGCCGCTTCATGTGTCAAGCCCTTCGCCCTTTATCCAGGCGTCCTGCTCATCTGCACCAGGCTCGCCAACAATCTGTGGACATTACCCTCGCTACAAAAATATACAGGCATATCTTCCATTCGCCAACGAAGACTTAAAGAATAGCTGGGCAAATGGTAGTAGTAGTGTTAGTAGTAGTAGTAGTAACAACGGCACTTTATTCAAATTAGACGTAATCCCGTGGAACCGTGTTGGAATCTACTGTCTGGTTCTATGATCAGTGCATCAGAGCTGTGCAAACGTATATACGGTCATGTGTGCAAGGCAAGCGGGGATGTGGCGAAGTGAAGTGTGCGGGAGACCCCTTGTGGATGTTTTTGGAATAGCTATGTGAAATGTGAAGTCATTTGCTGTTCGACAGTTTTGGTCAAATCTAATCTGACTATTGATTCACTCCTTCTAAAAGTACTCTATGTACAACTCTTATTACTTCCTAATTTGTTTGATAGCTATAAGTGAAAACATCAAAACAACAGCCCAGGAACCAAGCATAAATTCTTACACAATAATTACACGGTCAGTTCTATGGATTCGACACATTTTTGGCAGGGAAAAGCTTAAACTAAAGTTAATAGGCCAAGTAACAGTAATCTAAATCAATTGTAGTTACATTACTGCGTTACAAACAAATTAATCTACTACTACTTTTTAATTAGTTACTGCCCAACACTGCTGTTGGATTCTCCTTTTGGAAATAGAAATATCGACAGTATTTGCATTATGGCTATTCTGCAAGCTAAATCTAGGGTTTTAAGGCACAGCCTTTTTAGACAAATAATTAGAAGAAAAATGACAGACCCACCAAATTATTTGTAACAGAGCCGGTATATTTTTTCTGCAAATACAAATACATACACGTGAATGACGAAATTGCTGTACATGATTTTTGAGTGAGTGACAAGGTGCATTTTTTTCCAAGAAACATTGTCTCCAGGTGGCGACAAAGTCCAGCTTATGCCGCTAACAAACGCTTATCTTTATATATTTTTTTTGTATAAACTAATCGTTTTTAGAAGCACTACAGAGCATACAACATTCACTGTCCGCAAAAATATAATCAAATAAAACTTAAATTAAACAGAATAAATTTGGAGATACATAAATACATTAGGGCATTTGAGGTACGTGTGTACAGGTAAAGTCCAGCTATGATCAAATAGACTATAAAGATTCCCAATCCTATCTTCAGTTAGTCATCAAACCCATCGGAGCTCCTGAGCTCTGCTCGCTTCACCTGGAAGAGCTCTACAGTGAACACAAATTAACTGAAAAAAAAAAACAAAAAACACTGTCAGCTTATAACAGCCAAACTACAGCTGCAGGCATCTGAGTCAGGGATCTAGTCTTAGATAAACTCTACAGACAGCCAACTGTGGCCAGGGGTTATAAATCTAAATATACAGTTTTAAAACCAAAATATTCAAATGTGAGCAACCCCCAGCAACGTCATGTCTCAGAAAAAACAAACATACATCCTCATCAAAGATGGTTGGTACAAGTGGCCGGTGTCGGACCCAGAGTCATACAAGGCACAGAATAATTATATTGTTTGTGTTTTATGAGAAATAGCTTTCTGCATTATTTGTAAATGAAATTAGTGCCAGGTGCCCTTTGAACGTAACTGTCATTCTATAAAAATGTAACTACAGCTGTTTATTGAGTACTGCATACTTATTTTTAATTTTTAAATAGATTTTTTCATTGATCTTTCAAATGAAAACCTTTTTTTTTTCAAAGAAATTTCCTAATGTGAGCTAAGAAATTAATTTCCCTGAACATTTTATATAAAAAATATGTGCACCTCCTAGTCCCATCATAATATTTATATTAACCGCTGTACACATCAAACTATTCATTTGCAAATAATAGAAATAATAACACAAAAGTTGTCTGGTATGGCTTTTGGAGTGCATCCTCACTCTGCTAAATCATGCAAAGCTATCAGTATCTATAAATCTGTGAGTCCATCTGAAACAGCTATTTAATCTCACTTTGCTTACATGGCCCTGAAGGTAACACTTTACTGTTAAACCATCTTCACATGATTTTTTAAAAATCTATTTTGAGCAACATACTAACAAAACGTTCTTTTATATTAAAACTTCTTGCACCATGCCCAACCTTCGAGTCCAGTCCATCTTTCTTTTTGTCATTCTATTACTTACTCTTTCTTTCTTTCTTATGTTTCAGCCTCAAAAATCTTTTCTAACAAAATCACTTTTACCAATGTATTTGCACAAAAGTACAAAATACACAACTG